AGTTTAGCTTGTTTGTCATGCTAGCGCCGAGCTAATACATATAAGGCAATATAGAGTCAGCGCTAGCGCAAAGGCTAACAAGCTAAACTGAGGACCTCCATCCATATTTTCAGTTCCAGGCTGAGTCATTTCTACCTTCTCCTCTCTGTCAACGCTCTCTGGTTTCATTTAAAAGAGTCGATCATCAGATATTGTCCAAGATTAACCTTCAGGGTGGATATAGCTCGCTAGCAGCCTCGCACCGAGGACCTATCCATGTCATCATTTACCCAGAATGCTTTGCTTGTAAATAAAATGTCTCCGTCCGTGTTAAAATATATTTAAAAAAAATTTCAAAACTAAACAGCCTACAGTATTTTTACAGTCTTTATTTTGCAGTTAAAATATATGTTTATCAAATAAAGTCTAATGTTACAACTAATCAGGGATCCCTTTAAAGCAACGTTTTGCAAAATGGATAATGTGTAATTTTTCATACAACTCGGAAAGAAGTTGACGCTTATCTTCAGAGCAGGTTTAGGCTAAGCCTGAGCATGTGGATTTATTTGCTAACTACAAGTCGTAGGATTTATTAGTCGTCTTAGCTGATCCACAGTTTGCTTATAAAACGTCCTCCTGCAACAATTAGAGGAGCATAGATCACATTCCTGGCTTCGCAGAGGCCAGAGAACACCACGAGGCTTCGGGACGTCTCATTCACATCGGGAACGGTCCGGAAGATGCTTTACTAGATGGATTTATTTGCGGCCGTCACTGCTGGCCGGTGATTGAATGTCWGTGTGCATGTGCTGAACGCACTTTGTGTGAATCTGTCGGGGGACTCATAAGGCAGGTTTGAATTAGGCATGAGATAGAAGGAGGATGTGTGTGTGTGTGTGTTTGTGTGCATGTGTGACTTTGGAGTGCTTAATGGTGAAAGAGCGTGTAAATAGTGACCAGAGACAGATGTGGTCTCATTCTTTAAAGGCTGACGATAAAAAATTATCAGGGCAGGACCTTAGGTCCAGGCAAAGAGTCAAGCATTTCTCAGGGAAACATGTGCTCATCAAAAGAGGAAGAAAGAAAAAAAAGTAAAGTAAAAGATACTCAACTACAGAATCTTCTTGTTTGATGGCTGCGCTGGCAGATCAGMTCCAGTTACTCGAGGTGAAATCAAATCTTTAAAAAAGTTCAGGCCGTCATTTTTTTAAATATATTTTTTTAAAATCTGTACATCCCACAGATTTACCAAGATGTTAGCGAGAGCTGCAAACACTCCCGAGACCATAAAACATGATCTGGAGAGTTGTGAGCGACATAAAAACCAGTTCCTTTTAATGTAATATTGATTTACAAACCACGAGTTAAAACACCTCCCGGTCATGGCTCATTACTTCCAACCCCCCAACAAATTGAGCTGAACTGGAGCCCGCGCACATGAGAGACTGGTGGGTTGTGGACTCGCGAGCAGGTTTTAGGTGTCCTGGTGTCTAGACAGTTGCACCGTGACGACTTAGGAAAGAATTTGTGCGGACGTGTAAAGTGTGAAGTCAGAAAAGATGCCATTACTGACGTTAAATAGCATTTTTTTTCTGTCACTTTAAAGATCTCGTGGTCTCTAATGAATGCACTCRCTGATGCCATCCAGGCATGTTAGAAGTGCATGTTGATTAGCTCAATTAGGCAACAATTACACAAAATTATTGTCTGTGTTCTGACCTCACAGCGCAGCGTTGTGACAACTGCGGCCTACGACAGGGTGAGACCATAAGAATTAACTTCTTTTAGTCGCACAATGTTTTTGCGCGTTAATGGCAGCACCTTGTGAGAGGCGTCGCTTTCGCTGAAGTTTTATATTTGATTTCTGTTTACAGACAACATCTGCTTGTATTTGATGAAACATAAGAGATTCTGTCAAGAATAAATTACGGGAGAATCGAGCATTCAGTGTTTGATTTAAACAGCGAATGATTGCTTATTATCTTGTTAAAGACACCTGGCATCAGCTGGAGAACGAGTTTAAATAGACGTCTTCTAACGTGGAAGTATTGGTTAAGAACTTTAGAAGTTATAAATAATTAACATCCTACTTGTCGTAGATATCTGTTAGAACTACCCCAGTTTGAGTCTGACAGGACTGATGAGCTCATGACTCTCTATTATAAGAGAAAAAAAGGATTTAAATGACACTGTTCTCAAAAAGTGTATAGTAGTTCATGCAAATGTTATTTTATAGCCGATTTCACATGACAACTTGTTAGCATTTTTGATGCTCCAACAGAAATGTTGTACTTTTTCTGTTAGAATAACTGTAAAGCTACTGGACTGTCTGTTAGCATGAAGCTCAAGTCAGAGTTAAATGATCTAAACAGTTCAAATAACAATCCACAACAGGTAAGATATTAATTGTTGATAGCTGTTTTTGCAGAACCAAACTTAAAAAGTCTAAACTATATTATTATTAGGGGTGCAACAATACATGTACCTGTACTGAACCGTATCAAACAATGCTTTAGGTTCAACACACACTTGTATCGAAAAATACAGATTTTTAAAATTTACTTTATCAGCTTGTCTTCTGAAGATGATGAAGGATCAGTGGATCTGTGTTCGACTACTCCACCTAGGCTGCATTTTTGAGCGCAGATCCACTGAGAAACTTGCTGTTTCAGCAACATTTAATTTAATAACTGGACTTTTGAGGTTAAACAAATGTTCATAATTAATTTAAATAAATTACAAGTTAAAAGGGGCATGGACATTTCTCTTTTTTGTATTGAAAAAAAAATCAAACCATGAGACTAAAGTATCAAACCGAGCCGAATCGTGAATTTTCTGTATCGTTGCTCCTCTAATTATTATGTATAAACATCTGAGATTTTTATTTTACTAATCTGTTTTATGACACTGTTAATTTACAAAAACATTTAAAATATTTGTCAGTGAATATGTACCAGCATAAACTGTTTGAGTAATAAATATTAACTTTATGTTGATTTTTTTGTTGTAAATATATGATTACATTGTGCTAATTATAAGACTTAAAGTGAAATTAAGATATCCTTATTTTTAAAGGCTGATTAAATGCTGCTGAACTTAAAAGGAAAACATTTTTGGCTCAATAAAAGCAGTGATTTTTTTTGTTTAAAATAAAATGAATTGGAAATAATTCATTGTTTTAAAAACAAAATCACCAAAGAAAACCATAGAAAAAAATCATAGTTGCATTATTTTAACAAATGTTCTAAAAATCTTTCCTTCCTCGTGTTTTCTCTCAGCAGGCAGGCGGACCAAACATATGGCCTGTTCAGCAAATATGGCTCCAATTTACATTTTAATTCACGTTTAGGTAAACGCTTCCACGTGAGGAATTTACTCTCCCATGGATGAGTGTTTTCAGCAATGACTTATTTGTCCGGGTGGTTCTTACAGCTTGTATGTGCCTAAATAAACAGCTTTCCTTAAAAAAAACCTTTTTTTAAAGCAGGTAACACAACATGAGTAAGTCTTAAAGTTATTTTCATATCTGAGGCAAATCTTTGGGGCAACGCTCCCCTCGTGTTTTGTTTGTCTGCGGTAACACAGCATTTACATTTCAYTGACTCTGAATCGACTTGTCACCTGGTTGATTTACCGGACAGGTCGTGTTCAAGCAGGCGGGTGGTTTAAACGTTCCCCCGCCGCAGAATATGAATATTTACGTGGATGTTAACAGGTGGTGAGTCGCTTAATGGAGGTAATTGCTCCAGGGTGCATGTAGAAGAGGAGCAAATGTTCTTTCTTAAATCTTTGTGCATTTGAACCACATTTTATTGGTTGAAATTAAAAAACTAATTGTATTCTGCTATAATTCATTCACACAAAAAAAGGACAATTAAGTTTACAAAAAGTGCTTCTCTAACCAAAATACATTTTGTGCTTTCCTTAAATGCAAATGATTTGTTCAGTGAAGAYGTTCGTCTCACTCCGACCCATTTGTTTTCTCTTCACCGGAGAAAAATTGGCTTTATTGTCCATCTGACAGCCATGCAAATGTTTAAAAGCRCTGGAATGTTCCAAAGCAGATGGACACATCGGCCCTCCCCCTTTTTCGCCTTCAAAAATAGATGACATCACCACATATGGTTGCGGTGATTGATCTGTCGTCAGAGAGTGATCGGGGGCTGAGTGGAGCGAGCCGGGGGGGAGAGAAAGATGGCTGCCGTAATGTTCTCCCAACGCAGCCAGGAGAATCAATCAACAATCAGACTTTAAATGGTTGTTCAGAATTTCTACAAACTGACAGCTGCAGCAGCTGAATTCGAGATTCGAGAAGAAACGCCCGACTCTCTCTGGATTCTACAAACAAAATACTACAACTCTCAATCAGTTCTGAGAGAAAAGATGATGATGTTGAAAAGAGGAAAAAGAAAAAGTAATAGCCTGGATACGCAGCTCCAGAGACAGAACAGAAGCTGTGAGCTTGYCTCATCCTGCTGTGTTTCTGGCAGATTGCTGTGGAGCCTGTCATTGCTACCAGCATGGTGTTCAGCCACTACATGGCATTCAGCGGGGGAGCTGAATAAATCACTGGAACACACACAGTCCRTCTTACAGCTGGCCCACATCACACCTCCACTGTCTTTGTACCGCAGTGGCTTCTGCATAATTCTGTCAGCTGAAGGAACAGTTTATTTAAGCAGAAACTGAATGTAAACATATAACGCTCATGCTGAGACTCCATACTGCATTTCTCTTAAACTCCATTTAATACATTCTAAGTGTAGCTTTTAAAACTTTTTCCTGGTTAGCATCTCACTCCAGCTCCCGATTTACAGAATTTCCTGTCTTCAAATGATGCGGCACACACRATATTTATGTCTTTGTCAAAAGGCATAAAGAGCATTTTACAAGTGCATAAACRTTACTAACCTGTGAACAAGTTTGGTTACAGCTCATAAAAAGACACATTTCAGCAGCTCAAGTGTCACATACAGTAGGACTGAATCACACAACTCTTTCTCCCTTTTGCTTGCAGACTTTCCACCAAAACTACAACGTAACAGAAGCCGATGTGTGTGCACAGTGACACGCGTGATTGGTTAGAGTCAGGMTGAAAATATATTTGGCTGAGATCTGGCCAGAAACAGAAATCGAGTGGTATGCAAAAGTAAGTAGTCACGTTTATTATCCTGTGACGTAAATGAAAGCCTACTCATTTAAATCATACCTTTAGACTATTTTGTACATCATGTTTTAACTCCTCTTTAGGGTCACCACAAGGTATTTAGGATATTGTAAAAGTAAAGACTTTTTGGGTTTTGACATTCKTTCAAATAACACATTTTTTAAAGCCACTACCACGGATCTGACTGTATCACTCATTGCCTTGACATTGTACAAAAGAGATGAGAGCACTTTGGCAAATAGAGACAGTTAAAATAATCAGTGCAGGAGTTTTGTATCATTTTCATCCAACTGCAGTGTGATTTTTGAGCAAACTTTTAAAATGTTGCAAAAAAAGAAATGCGAGTTTCTGTTTCCATTTAGTGGTTTGGAATGAAACAAGGCTACGCTGATGCTATGTTCACAGCTAATGCGTTTTTAGCATCAAAAATGCGGCCAATGCATCAAGTTGGACGCTTGTGCTCTTTCAGGTCAATCGCGTTCCAGGTGAACATAGCATCAAACTGCTGGACGAGCATCGGTGCCAATATCTCCTGCCAGGACACCGGCTATAGATGGTCGATTTCAGCTAAAGAGCTCCTGTCCGTCAGTCTCAGGTTAGTGGGCATCATTCAGGAAACTGTCACGTCGAACAATGCACCACTACGTCACACAGCGGAGTCTCTCTAGCTGAGTTTCCATTGCAAATGTGCGCAAAACTTTGTCGATATTCTGTYGTAAAAACACAGTTTTGCAACTGCGGTGTTTCCATTAAGTAAGAAATGCTATTAAAGTCACGCGTGAATACGTTTGTTCTCATGATAAGTCATTACAAACATGGCGGCGATGGATGTAAACACATAGCATATTGCTACTGCGACACTAGCGCTCATCATCAGAGGAGACGTCGGCGTCTTTTATCGAGGCTTTCCAGAGACAAGTCCCTACTTGGGAGCGGCTACGTATGCTGTGTTTTTGGGAAATTGTAGTCTGTGAGTTTACTACTTTCTTTTAGTACTTTTGTGATATTACTACTACTACTACTTCCTGTTATCTTCTTCGTCATCATCTTTTTCGCCAGTAGAAACAGCCGGTTGTTGATCACGTGACTCCCTTGGTGCGAAAAGTGTTTCCATTGCATTTTTGCGAGAAACACCAATTTCGATACGACCGAAAAACCACCTCATCCTAGCACAAAAACATTTTGTTGAAAAACATATATATATATAATTTGCGCATTTTCATGGTCAATGGAAACGCAGCTTCTGAATGGTTGAAGCGCCGCAATGAGCAGCAAAAGTTCAGATTTTTCAACTGCGCCACGCTGAACACGCTAGACGTGCTGCAGCACTTCCCAACACTCTTTGATGTGCGTCCACCATAGATTTTACAAGAAAACTTGATGCTCAAAACATGTTCGGTCTGAACATAGCATAGGCGTAATTTCGTCAGACGTTGACGTTACGCATGGCTGTGATAAACAGGAAGTAGAGGTTCATCCCAGGACAATGGAGAGAAGTTTTCAGGAATGTGTTGCTATCAGACAAGTTGGGATTGTTCTGTCATATCAAGTAGTACTGGTAATTTTTCATTCTGTCTGGACCTGTTGTTGCTTCCAGCCATGTTTTTGCGCATTATATCCGGGAAGACCCCGACTGCAGAAACAGCTGATCAGTCATGAGAGKTAAATGTTCACTATGTCAGAACTTATTGGACAAATTTGTTACCATCTCCTCTTTTGCACTCTTTTTCGGAAAATCCAAAAAMCACCGTAAAAAGGTCTTTTGTAAAGTTGTGGACATTTTTTCGAATTTTGTCTATTTTCATGCACGTTTTCTAATGCAATACTTCAAAATGTGCATAAAATTTTTTTTGATGGAAAATGGGTAGTGTCGAGGAAATTCTTATTTTACCTGGACAGAAACACGAGATCCAAGAATAAAAAGCACTCAGTGAAAATGGTCAACAGGATTTATTGCAATTTGCAAGACACACATAATGTCACAAAGGGCAGTGGTACAAAATGTGTGCACCGAGGCAGTTTCACATACATGCATTTATACAGAATCTAATCAAGACAGACAATAAACATCTCTCTTGGTGCTAAAACTGGGCCAAGGAGAGAATGATGTTTGATAAACAGCAACAAGAATGATTACTTCTAACAGATATTGTCCTGATCTTAAAACACTCTGTCCAAGAGAAAACAGAAGAGACGTCACTGACTCTTGGCCTGAGAATAAATGTAGGACCTTAAAGGATAATTTATTTTCCAAGACAGGTAGTTAGACGCTAAAATGCATAGTAGTACTTGAAAAGTTTTTTTGCAAAGCTTTGTTGTACCAAGTTCACACCACTCCCTTTGTGGTCAGATTTGGAAGACGTTGTGTTGCCTCATTTTAGTCTCAGAATGCAACAAGAAAAATGTAAAAAACAAATGCAATCGGCCAAGAAAATAAAAGACTGTTCTCCAAGAAAGAGTGGTTTATCTGTTTGGACACAGCGTCAGCCATGACGAGGAAGAGGACAAGCGTGTGTTTACATGAGGCACCAACACAAGCCTGCATAATCAATCTAACAATCTCTCAGGGTGAAACCTCAGCCAAGAATCAGTGTGTGGGATGGAAGTCATGGTAAACAGCAGGAATCTGTGCCAGTTGTCTATTTAAATATTTGTTTATCCAAAGAACTCTGAATCTTTTCCTGCAGCATCATACAACGCACAAATGTTTCACACATACGGGTGTCATGGGAAATATGTTGGCATCTTATAAAAAGTCCATAAGGCCTGATTTACATTTTGTTTCAGTGTCCACAGGAGTAAAACGGATTGTTTTAGAATATGTTTAGCTTTGTGGAAGCAGAAAAATACATAAAAACATAAYCTGGTGTGTCATTTCTTGTATTGATCTTGTTTCACTCTTGCACTGAAGGGGCATTGTTTTAGAGCTGTTTAAAATGAGAGCTTAAATTGCCATTATTTTGGGGTTTTTGCACCTGATGTCAGTTCTGTTGAAATCATATAAAGCATGTGTCAAACTGAAGGCCCCCGAGGCAAATGTGGCTCATACGTGACTTCTGTCTGGCCCAACGATGAGGCGTCATGGTCGTTTTGTCACAAATGAGCAATAACAAAAATAAATAAATACAAGAAAAAAGAAAATTTTACTTAATTTAACAAAAAAATAGATTTTAAACCAATTGTAAATTTTAAATTTTAGACTCTATGCAACAAATAAACAAATTTTAAAGGTGAAATAATACTTGTTCGACGCCTGAGTTGTTGGCTTTGAGTAACTGTGGACTCCTGTGCAATTTAGTTGAATAATCCTGCTTTAGTGTCTAAAAATAAGCTKTTTTAAAGCCAGCATTGACCATAAACTACAGCTCCCATAATGCATGTTGATTCAACATCCCACCACTAGGTGGAGATGCATAGAATTCATCAAAATTCACTGTATAAAATCTCTATTTTGCTGCATTTTTGCGGACTACCTTTGCTACTGCCCAGATGTATTGGAAAGTGGGAATTTCCCACTTATATGTTGTAAATTTGAACTGTAATACACATCCAGTGGGAATTCCCTGTTGGAAAGTGGGAAAGTTCCAAATTCAAGATGGCAGCTATTCACAGTGAGTCAAACTCTCTTACTTGAACTTTTAATAGTATTTCTGTATTTTTTTTATTTCACATTTAGTCAGTTGTACATGTAGTACTTTTCAGTGTTTATAAGAAGAAGCGTTAAAATGCTGTTTCTTTGCAGGAAATACCAGGTAGAGCTCATTTATTTATTAGCGGTGCTCAGTCGTAGCAATGAAAYGAGGAATGTGACGTTTCGTGTTTCATCAAAGTTCAACACGAAACGTTGAAATGAATCAGAAAAGTTAGAAGTTATTTGAAATGATTTACATATGTTTGTGGTTGAATTAGCTTTTSTGTGCAATGACCATGCAGACCTGATTGTAAGTTTAAAAAAGAGGTTTCTGTGTGAGCAGACAGAGTGCTTGAACGTGGAACATACACTTCACTGTTCTGCTTTCCTTCTGTTTTCTCTGATTCTTTTCGGCTCCGTTGTCTAAATCTGCGCCGAAGCCCCTTCTTGTTKGTCTTGTTTTCTCCTTCCTCCCCATGTGGCCCTCCTGCCCACCCAACGTCAGATGGTGGCAGCTCATCTGACCAGAGTGAATGCATGTTTTTACATAATTTCCGAGCCCAAGCAGCAGATCCACCGGTCGATATGAGAGCGCGGCATGCCAAACAGTTCCACCTAGTAATGTGACTTGGCAGCGTGTGCAGAGCTGAAAATCTAGTACCTGTTATTTAATACATCCAAACACTTTCTTTCTGTATCACAGTTGGCCGGCTGCATTRGCAAATGTTTCCTGTTTGTTTCAGCCGGGGAGGTGGGGCCGCTGTAGTGTGAGCCCATGTGAATTACAAATGTTACATACATCTATGCGCATTGTTATGGAAGCCCATTTCCGCCACCCTRATAAAAAATAAAACTTGTATCTCATAATTATGACTTAGCTATCTCATAATTGTGAGATAGTATCTCATAATAATGAGATACTATCTCATAATTATGACTTAGCTATCTCATAATTATGAGATAGTATGTCATAATAATGAGATAGCTAAGTCATAATTATGAGATACTATCTCATAATTATGATATGTTATCTCATAATAATGAGATACTATCTCATAATTATGAC